ACTGAGTCATTTCCAAAAAACCATCGCTAAACGGATATTGTTTATTTTCTCTTATGCAAAATTTACGATGAGTTACGGTATTGAGAGCACAAAGTAGGTGTAAAGAAAAACAACCACTCATGCAGTTAATCAAATTATTTCAAGTCTGGTGCTAAAACGCATGATCGCACCGACTCGCCTGGTGCGCATCAGCCTGGGTTTTTTCACAACAACACGTCCAACTACAATTTTCTTCAAGCGAATCGGGAACACACAAATAAAATCACAAAAGCAAATGTCCCGATACAATTTTTCTATTAAAATCACCAAAAAATTCTCCCCAATTAAACCATCCTAACCATCGCGGACCCGAAATTCCTATTTTTTCTTTTCCTTCCGTCCAGCGCACCACCGCACGTGCCGTTTCCTTTTCCCATTTCAGCGCACCACCGCACGCGCTGTTTTCTACTCCACTCCTCCGATCAGCGCACTGCCGCAGGCGCCGTTCTCTTACTCCCGTTCCGCACACCGTCGCACGCGCCGTCTACCGCACGCGCCGTCCTCCGCAGGCGCCGTCCTCCCTCCACTGCTAACCTAGCTCACTTTATCCCTATGCCCTCGACCTGGTGACCTCCCTCGAATTCTCTCCAGGTCATCCTCCCCTAGCTGATGCTGGTATTGACAACACGAAAAAAACAGCTTAGAAGATTCGCGAAGGTCAATCGCGATTCTTCGCGACAGAGGTAGCACATATACATTGAACTGGCGCTGAGTACTAATTGGAGGAAGTATGCAGCACAAGAAAGCTGTACCCGGCGTATGAGAGCATTCAAGTCACATAATAGTTTTTGTTGTCTCGCTATTGATGCAGCAACGTTTTCCATTTAGACTGCTCTCCTCACATCCAGATAAACAAAAAAGCCAAAGCTCTCTCAAGTCTATGAAAGTTGAGGATACTTAAGAGGAAATTAGGATGCAGTACAAAACAAAAGCGGTCATCTGCTGACAAGACTGTCTGAGCCTTCTTTTTCTTCTAAGGTTGAGCTTGCGGACTTATTTATTCTCCAAGAGTGGCTGTGGTTGCAACACCATACATGGAGTACGACAGCAACCTGCTCGTTCTGAACATAGCCTATCAGACAAAGTCTCCGGTAGACTTAAGAAACCAAATCTCAATTCTGAAAAACTGC